AGCGCTTACTCCGAATTGCCACCCGAGGCAGCAGCAGGGCACGGCGGGGATTTGCGGGTGAGCCCCAGGCCCAAGGCTCGCACTTGAGCTCCGCTGCTTGCTCTGCGCCGCCCCGGAAGCCGGACACTGCCCAAAGCTCACACGGCTGCCGAGAGGACCCAGTTCACAGCACCAACACTGGAATCCAGCCCCTTCGGATGCTGGATGGGCCCAGACGCCACAGGGCCGCAGAGGGGAACCCTGGGGAGAGAAGTGTGGTTCGATGTGCGGACCCCGCTGTGGCAAGCCTGGGACGCACGGCAAGCGCTGTTTACATTCACCTGATTAGGAGAGGAGGAGGAGGAGGAGGAGGAGGAGGAGGAGGAGGAGGAGGAGGAGGAGGAGGAGGAGGAGGAGGAGGAGGAGGAGGAGGAGGAGGGGGGGGAGGGAGGAGAGGAGGAGGAGGAGGAGGAGGAGGAGGAGGAGAGGAAGAGGAGGAGGAGGAGGAGGAGACGGAAGAGAAAGAGGAGGAAAAGGAGGACGGAGAGAAACATACGGAGGAGGAGAACGAAGACGGAAACATGAGGAAGAGAAGGGACGGAGGCGAGAAGAGACTGGGCATGCGGCGCGAAGGGCGACTGGACGCAGCACGAAGGCAACGGATCCTCCACCCGCAGGGAGCGATGATGCGTCGCCTGAATCGGGAGTCAATGTTGCGCTTGGCCAGTCGGAGACGGCATTACGGAAAGGCCCGGCACGGCGCGCTTCATGAGGACGGCGAGGGAGGAGGAGCAGGGAGGGAAAGGGCGACGACGACGAGGGGCACGGGGAAGAGGGCGAGGATGGGCGCAGGCACCATGTGGACACAAGAGAGGCCCTGGGGGAAAGGTAAGAAAGCCATGCCTACCCTCCCGCGCAAAGCCTCGAAAGCTCCCCAGACCCCTGACCCTTGCTTGTTCCCCCCCCCCCTCCCTCCCAGGCGGCGTCAATCATCCGTCCACAGCCCTCCAGAAAGAGGAGAAGCAGGAGAAGGAGGAGGGAGAAAGGAGCCTCCCACCCCCTCCCCCCCGGATGTTCGGCAGGTCGCGGTGGCAACACCAGCGGCCGCGCGCAGCACGGGCGGGGAGTGGCAACACCGTGCGGAGGAGGCGCGCCGCGCGTCTGCGAAGTAGCAGCAGTTGCAGCAGCAGTAGCTTCAGTAGTCGAAATTGTGGTAATCGTAGAAGTAACAACAGGAATAATACGAGTGATGGTTGAAACTGTCAGGAAAAAAAAATGATCAGCAGCGAATAAACAGTAGCACAAGTAACCAGTATTAAGTAGTGAGTTGTAAAAAGTACGTGGCAGGTTAATGCCAGCTCCAAGTACTTGTAAGTATGTGTAGCAATGGTGGTAGGAGCTGTAGTGGTAATAATATTCGCAGTAGTGATACTAGTAGTAGTAGTAGTAGTAGTAGTAGTAGTAGTAGTAGTAGTAGTAGTAGTAGTAGTAGTAGTAGTAGTAGTAGTAGTCGTAGTAGTAGTAGTAGTTGTTGTTGTTGTTGTTGTTCATGTTGTTGTTGCTGTAGCCGTACTGGTAGTAGTAGTAGTAGTAGTAGTAGTAGTAGTAGTAGTAGTAGTAGTAGTAGTAGTAGTAGTAGTAGTAGTAGTAGTCGTAGTCGTAGTCGTAGTCGTAGTCGTAGTCGTAGTCGTAGTAGTCGTAGTAATAGTAGTAGTAGTAGTAGTAGTAGTAGTAGTAGTAGTAGTAGTAGTAGGCAGTAGTAGTAGTAGTAGTTGGTTGTCGTGGTAGTAGCAGTAGTAGTAGTAGTAATAGTAGTAGCGCAAGTAGTCGCAGTAGTAGCAGCAGCAGCAGCAGCAGGGTAGTAGTAAGAGTAGTAGTAGCAATAGTAGTGGTAGTAGTAGTAGCAGTAATCGTAGTAGAGTAGTAGTAGTAGTAGTAGTAGTAGTAGTAGTAGTAGTAGTAGTAGTAGTAGTAGTATAGTAGTAGTAGTAGTAGTAGTAGTAGTAGTAGTAGTAGTAGTAGTAGTAGTAGTAGTAGTACGAGAAGTAGCACTAATAGTAGCAGTAATCGCAGCAGTAGTAGCAGGACTAGTAGTAGTGCTACTACTGGCACTACTCCTACTACTACTACTACTACTACTACTACTACTACTACTACTACTACTACTACTACTACTACTACTACTATTACTACTACTACTACTACGACCACTGCTATGAATAGTCGTAGAAGTAGTAGTAGTAGTAGTAAAAATAGCAGCAGCAAGAGGGGAGTAGTAGGAGGTACTAGTAGTAGCACTAGTAGAAGTAGTAGCAGTAGTAGTAGTACTAGTACGAGAACTAGCACGAGTAGTAGTAGTGAGAGTAGTAGTTGTTGTTGTTGCTGTAGTAGCTGTACTAGTCGTAGTAATCGTCGTCATCGTCGTTCAGATATGAGCAATGGTAGCTTTGTTAGTGATAGTAGTAGTAATAGTAATAATAAATAACAGCAGTAGTAGTCGTAGTCGTAGTAGTAGTAGTAGTACTACTACCCTTAGTACTACTACTACTACTACTACTACTACTACTACTACTACTACTACTACTACTACTACTACTACCACTAGTAATAGTCGCCGTCGTCGTCGTCGCAAATAGATTAGCGTTAGTACTAGTAATAGTCGCCGTCGTCGTCGTCGTCGCAAATAGTGGCAGCGATGGTAGTAGTAGTCGTAATACCAACGGAACAGCAAGTAAAGGCAGGTAATAGGTAGTAGGCAGCCAGTACAAAGTAGCAGATAATAGAAAATAGGTAGCACGTCGCGGGTCGTGGGTCGCATGTGGTCGGTCATAGGTAGAAGGCATGGCTAGTGGAAAGTAAGTAGTAGGTACTAGGTTGGCTGTCGCAGTAGTAACTGTAGTGTACAAGAACTAGTACTAGTACTGGTAATAGTCGCAAAAGAAGACTCAATAATAGCAACGCGAATAATAATACTAATGGTAGTAGCCTTACTCTTGTCGTTTTTAAGCATAGTAGTAGGCGTTGTCGTTGCATTGGTATCAGTAGTAATCCTCGTCGTAGTAGTGGCAGTAGTGCTAGTAGTAGCGGCGTAGGTAGCAATAGCATCGGCACAAGAAGCATACGCAGCAAAGGTAGGAGTTGTATAGTACTTGGTGTAGTAGTCGTAAATGTGGTAGTAGTCGTAGGAGTAGGTAGTAGTAGTAGTAGTAGTAGTAGTAGTAGTAGTAGTAGTAGTAGTAGTAGTAGTAGTAGTAGTAGTAGTAGTGATAGTAGGAATAATAGTAGTAGTAGTAATAATAATAGTAGTAGTAGTGGTAGTAGAAGCAGTAGTAGTTACTGGTAGTGGTAGTGGTACCGGAAGTGGTAGTGGTAGTGGACGTGGTGGTGCTAGGTGGCACTGGTAGTGGTCGTGGCAGCGGTAATGGGAACGGTAGTAGTAGTAGTCGTCGTCGTCGTCGTAGTAGTAGTAGTAGCAGTAGTAGTAGTAGTAGTAGCAGTAGTAGTAGTAGTGGTAGTAGTAGTAGTAGTAGTACTCCTAGTAGTAGTAGTAGTAGTAGTAGTAGTAGTAGTAGTAGCCAAAGTAGCAGTAGCAAAAATGAAGTAATAGTGGTGGTAGTTGTCGTTGTAGTAGCGTTAGTTGCAGTAGTAGTAGTAGTAGTGGTAGTAGTAGTAGTAGTAGTAGAAGTAGTCGTACTACTACTTCTACTACTACTACTACTACTACTACTACTACTACTACTACTACTACTACTACTCCTACTACCACTACTACTACTACCAATTCTACTACTGCAACTAATGCTACTACAACGACAACTACCACCACTATTACTTCATGTTTGCTACTGCTACTTTGGCTACTACTACTACTACTACTACTACTACTACTACTACTACTACTACTACTACTACTACTACTACTACTACTACTACTACTACTACTACTACTACTACTACTACTACTACTACTACTACTACTACTACTACTACTACTACTACTACTACTACTACTACCACTACTACTACTACTATTACTACTACTACTACTACTACTACTACTACTACTACTACTACTACTACTACTACTACTACTACTACTACTACAACTACCAGCTGCAGTAGTACATTCAGAACTTCTGCTTGAGAAATCTCACGGTAAGAAAATTGAGAAACACTCTCGCTGAATGTCTTAACCTTCGTGGGAGAACCCAATTTGAAGCGTCCACTTCCTCAGCGCAGCACGGCGCATGCGTTGGCGGAGACGATTAAGGTCGCGCTGGCGATAGTGCCGGGCGGTGCCGGGGGGCGCGCTAGTTGGTCTCGCTGAGGGGTTGACATCGGGGCTTTTTGCTCGGGGGTCGTGCCAGGGGTTCGCGCTTTGGGGTTGCGCTGGGGGGTTTTGCCGGGGGTTGCGCCAGGGGGCTGCGCCGGAGGTTTGCCGAGGGGGGGACGCTGACGGTTGCGACGGGGGGTTGCGTTGCGGGGCTTCGCTGGGAAGCGCAGGGAAATACATGGAGCAGGATGCGGAGGAAGATCGGGCGGAAGATCCGAAGGCAAACGCGGCGGAAAATCTGAAGGGAAAACGAAGCGGAATATCTGGAGCAATGACTGGATCAACATTGGAGGGCGATCTGGGGGAAGACAAGGCGAAGCGAAGCAACTGTTCTTTCACCGCGCGCGCCAGGGCGAGGGCATGGGCGCGAACTCCCAAACGCATCAGCTAGGCAGCGGGCGGCGGGAGACGGCCCGCAGTCAACCAGGCAGGCGCACTCGCGTCGATGCCGCGCGAAGGGGGGGATGGACCGACGAACGATGCCGACGGCGAATCTGTTAAAAACCACCCGCAACGCCGTCAAGCGACGGGGCGACGCAAACGCCCCAATCGCGCATCACGCCATGCCCGGCGACGGCGGCTCAGCGGCACTGCCCCTCATCCAGCACGTCGGACACGCCAGCTCGCGCTCAAACAGGCGGTCGCAGGCGGAGCACGAAATGACGACGTCGCCCCTGTCGCGCGGGTGTCACAGCCAGCCCTTCACAGAGTCGAAGCGCCGGATCGCGCTGTGATTCGCCAAGAGATCCTCTGGGCACCGCATCACTTTCTTGTCCAAGATGTCATCCGGGGTGCGCGGCCCCGCGCCAGGCCATGGCGCGTCCGGCGGGCGCCGGCGCGCCCGGGCAGCAAGCCGCAAAGTCTCGGTGCACGCGCGCCCCTCCGCCTCGATTAGCCGGGAGCGGATCTCGTCCGGAGAGATCACCTTCGGAGAGATCACCTTCGGCTCGAAGGGGCCAGCGGGTAACAATCGGCGTCAAATGAGACGTGGTTACAGACCGGGGCCGCCATCCCAGCGTGGTCGGCAGCTGGGTCGGCTGGGTCGGGGCCACCGCGTTGGGGTCGTGGTTGTAATTGCACGGGCCGAGCATGGCGTTCCTCGTGGCCTCCAGCAGCGCCATGCGGCGGCGCCTGTCGGCCGGGGCGGCGGACCTGGCGCGACGGGCGGCCGGCTCAAGCACGACGATGGCCATGCGCGCGAAGCTCTTGGAGACAAACCGCGCCCGCCAGGCAGCGAGTCGCCCGAGCGCCTGCTGCACGCCTGCGAGCTCGGCCAGCGTCAGCTCGAGGCCGTCCATCGCGGCCTGGGCTCCAGGGGTTCCGCCAAACGTGGGCGGGGAGGAAAGTCAAAGTCCACTCACTGCTCGAGGGGAGAGCAAAAACTGGCGAACTGAGGAAGAGTTGGAGAAAGATCGAGATCTGGATGAAGATCTGGCGGAATATCTGGGGTAGATATGGAGGAATCTCGGAGAAGATCTCTAAAGGAAGATCTGGCATATAGGAGGAATCTATGGGGGACCATATGGGGGAAGATATGGAATAATATATGGGGGGAGATCTGCGGGAGCATATGGAGGAATCTCCTGGGGGATAAATGGAAGAATAACTCAAGGAATGTGCGGGAGGATCTGGAGGAAGAGCTGGTGGAAGATCGGGGGAATGATCTGGAGGAAGATCTGGGGAAACATGTGGAAAAAGATATGCAGAAAGATCTGGGCGAAGACCTGAAGGAACAAATGCGGAAGACCTGGGGGGAGGTGTGAACGGTGATATGGGGGACAATGTGGGGAAATATTATGCGAGGAAACCTGGGGAATTCAAATCTCTAGTTATGTAATGTGACATATTTTGTTGTGGTATAGTATACTACAATATATCGTATGGTATTACAATGGACTGTATTAGACTGTCTGACACTATAATGTAATCTATGTGTGTGCCACAACATACTATGATAACTTTAATTACGCTATGTTATAGTGAAGTGTTATATAACACGATATGGTATGTTATATTACATGGTATGAAAGGAAAAATACGTTAAATTATATGGTATATAAATGTGTGATCGATTACACCATGTTGTATTAGATTGTGCTAGACGTTTTACTTGTATACTACCTCATGGCATGCCAATGATTACCATGCTATACTAGATCAGTGCATGCCGTGGTATATTACCTCATAATGTAACAAATTGTTTACCGTGAAGTATGTATGTATATGCATATACACATGTGCAAACATACATATAGATAGACCCATACATACTCATACACAAACACACACACACACACACAAACATACACATACATACATACACACAGGTATGCAAACAGACAGTCAGGCAGACATACTGGCAGACCTACATACATACATACATACGTACGTACATACATACATACACACACATACAGACGTTCGTGCGTACCGACTTACATACATACATGCACACTGAAGAAGGAGTAAGGGAAGATGCTGGGGAATACGTGGAGGAAGATCTGCAGGAACATCTTGTCAAAGAAATGCAGGAGTATCAGTGGGGAGACATGGAGGATTAGTTGAAAGAGCAAAATGGGGGAAATCTACCGGAAGAACTGGAGGAAAATCTGCGGGGAACATCAGGAGGATGATCCGGACCTTCCTTTCGACCTCCTCCTTTGCTCTCGCCTCGGCCACTTCCTGGGCCCTCCTCTCGGGTTCCTCGCGGGCACTCCTCTCGACCTCCTTGGCTCTCGCCTCGGCCTCGTCCTGGGCCCTGCCCCCGCTCGGCCTCCTCCCAGGCCTTCCTCTCGGCCTCCTCCTTGGCTCTCGCCTCGGCCTCGTCCTGGGCCCTCGGTTCGGCCTCCTCCCATGCTTTCCCCTCGGCCTTTCGCCTCGGACTCCAAGGCCTTCCGCTCAGCCTCCTCGAGGGCCCCCCTCTCGACTCGGCCTTCCTGGGCGTTCAAGGCCACGCCCGAAAACCGGAGATGTCGCCCATTTGTCTCTTCGCCTGCGGCGCTGGGACCTGGCAAGCAGCCGCCACCGCGCCAGCACGGAACGTGCCACATTAGAACGCTCTCCTGCTATTTGGCGGTATTATATATACACACATACACATATATGTGTTGTGTCTAGGCCCACTGGGGCAAAGATATGGGGGATGAACAGGAGGAAGATCTGGGGAATTGCATTCAGAAATATGTGAAGGGAGATGTGCGGGAATATCTTGTAGATATGAATGACGGGAAGATATGGGGGAGAGGCATGGGGGAAATTATTGGAAAGGGTTTGGAGGCAAATACGGAAGAAGATTTGAAGGACGGTTTCGGTGAATATCTACACGAAAATCGGGGCTAGATGAATATATGTATAAAAATTCCCCATCGAGTGTTTGCCCCAAAGGCTGGTGTGCTGCTTTGGCGGCTATGTTGCCGCCGTCGCGGCCCCGTCGCCGCCTCGTCGCCGCCCGTCGTCTGGACCGGAGTGTTGGTCTGGCGGCTCTGTTGTCGCCGTCGCCGCCCCGTCGCCGTCTCGTCGCCGCCCGTCGTCTGGGCCAGTGTGGCGGTTTGGCGGTTACCATCGCCGCCTCGTCGCTGCCCGTCGTCTGGGCCGGTGTGGCGATCTGGCGATTATTTTGTCGACGTGGCCGCGCCGTCGCCGCCTCGTCGCCGCCCGTCCCGTCGCCGCCTAGATTGCACAACATAGAAAAATTAGATAACTCTATTTCCCCACCCCGGGTTTATCGGTCCATCTTTTCATATTGCAATTTGCACACGATTCTGCCCCATCGTCCATCCTAAAGAGGAACCCGTACCATCCCTGCCGAGCCGGTATCGACCCCACAAAAACACTATGCGCGCACACTCGATTATCAAAGCTCATAACTTGTTCACGGACCCCTTGCAAAAAATTGGGCGAAGTGCGCATGTGGGCGTCATCGCGCACGCGTGCCGACCTCCTTTAGACACCTTCGGTGTCGGAAAGGTTTCAAAATCGAGTGCCCCCAAAAAATGTAAAAACACACATGGTTTTGCAACACGGTTATGAATACAATTGTATACATATATATATATATATAACACCATACGTATAACTTTAACTATGATAACAGTGTTCCTCTTTTTGATATGCATAGCAAAGAAATCTGCGCGCGCGCTCGCGCGAATTCTTTAGAAAACCATAAGTGCGTCAACACGTTCAGGAAATACTACCAAACGGGATTCGTCCGCGCGCATGCCGAGATCGTTCGGACGACTTTGCGCACGCGCCGTCGCGAAAACCCTGTTTGCAAAACACAACATGGGACGAAGTGCACACGCGCGTCGTCGCGCGCGCATGCCGAAATCCTTCAAAAACACATGGTGTCGTAACGATTTCAAAACCGAGTATCCAAAAAAATCAAAACACACATGGTTTCGCAACATCCGCTTTTTACTAACAACAAAACCCCGCGCGTTCTTGTGAATTCTTGGGCAAACCATCGGTTGTTCAACATTTTCACGGAATTCTGCCAAGCGGGCATCTGGCGCCGCGTGCCGACAGCATTTGCGCGCCCTTGCGCCCGTGATGGGGGGGCAGCATCCGTGTCAAATAAAACCATGCGGGCCACCCTCGCGCGTCGGCCGCGCGCGCATGTCGAATTCCTTCCTCACCGACGCGACGGCGCCGTCATCGTCGTCGGCGCGATCAGCATGGGCGCCCGCGCTGGCCGCGCCTTCGTCGGTGCGAACATCGTCACCAGCATCGCCACCATGATCGTCGTGTCTACCGTAGTCGGCGGTGCCACGATACCGCGACCGCCCAAGTTGCCGACTCGGAGTGAATTGCCTGCTGGGATGCGCCCAGCGGTCAGCGCCACCGCGGCCGCGTCGGCGGAGCCAAATTGGCTGGCCGCTGCGCGCGCGTGCTAGGGTTGGCGCGGCCGCAGAGATGCACGAGCCAACGCCAACCATGCATCACAATCGCGACCGCATGGGTTTTGCAAACCAAGTTGCGGGCGGGCGGGAGGGACGTTTGCAAGAGCATGGGAGTTGACAACTCACTGCGAACAGAAATCACTTGCATTCTATATAGATTGCACAAAGATATATAATGCAATATAATATGATATCATATTATACGAAGTAATGTACGGCACTGTGATATGTATATATATGTATATATATATATATATATATATATATATACACGTGTGTGTGTGCATATGAAGATTTACCACCACCACCACCACCAACACCACCACCACCACCACCACCACCCCGACTTAACGACCGGCTCATTTGCGGGAAAATTCACATGCGCTTCCGCCCCATCGTCTCTCCTAGATATGAACGCATACCATCCCAGGCACTCGTTTATCGCCCCCCTCTCCTCCTTTGGCACAAGCACGATGCGCGCACGCTCGCTTATTAAAACAGTAATCAGTTTGAACGAACCCCTCACAGAAAATGGCACGAAGTGCACACGCTCGCGTCGTCGAGCGCGCATGCCGAAATCCTGTTCAAAACCACCGGTTTCGCATGGTTTTCAAAACGAACGCCCCGAAAACACGCAAAAAATGCGTTCGCAACACGACGTTCACCAAACAAACTGCCAGACACAACGCGCCCGCGCTCTTGCGATTTCTTTCGCTTCGAAAATCAATAATTTGATCGCAAGCAACAAGCCGCGCCCCTCGCGCGCGCATCTCGAAATAATTCCAACGCCGCTGCGCACGCGCTGTCGCAGGAGTCCTTCCCAGAAATGGGACGGAGCGCACGCGCGCGTCGTCGCGCGCGCATGCTGGAATCCATCAAATACCAGAGGTTTCGCGAGGATTGCAAAATCGAGCCCCGAAAAAACCAAACAAATACACACAATGTTGCAACATTCGTTTTCAATGGCAATCTACCCGCGCGGTTTTGCGAATCCTCCAGAAAACCCCACGCGCTCCAACATGCTCATCAAATTCTGCCAAAT